CGAGGGTGACGAATTACTTATTCTTCACCCCGGTCGATCGACCCAGCCACGGTACAGCTTGGCCAGGTTTGAACCGATGTAAAATAGTATCAATACCGATGTAAGATTACGGAGGAGCCAGCCCACTCCTCGATACCTTCACTAATTAGGTGCTCACATGCGAGCGGTTTTACTTTGAACGAGGAAAGCGCGGTGAGCGGTGGGGCTCGACGGCGTGATGCTCGGCGGAGATTGTTGTCGCCCATGTCCTCCTCTCCCCCGTACACCAATTAGGAGGCGACAGTGGCGGTGGCCACCGGGGTGGAAGGGCGGAGGGGACGGCGATTCGAGCTGTGGCGGCGCCGGCCACTGCAAAATCCTGCCCTGCTCTGTCGGAGAAGGCTCTAGCGAGAGAACACCGTGGTGACTACCATCCTCCGTATGGTCTGCTCTCTCTCTAAAGTCTATCCTAGTATTTTTTCTAGTGTCTTTCTTTAATTGATCGTAATTAATTTTGAAGGTGCAGAGGTGTCATTCTTTTGTTTTTTCTAATTAATTCTGAAGCTGCAGAGGTATCCTTATTTGTGGAACTTGTTAATTCCGTAAGAACTTAGTATGACTAGCACATGGATGAATGCTTGCACTGATGTATGCCTATTTAGCACAGGGCAATGAATGGGCAAATACTCCAACTGCCTATGTACGTGTTACTTCTTCCAGGCAACAGAGTTCAGAACTTCACAATTTAGGAAAGGAAGGGAGTTCACAAAGTACTGAACTTTGCACAACAAAATTCACCCTTTTACATGTTTGGACACAACATAACTTTTTCTTAATTGACTTATAATTTCAAACACTTTTCCAGGCCCAGTTCTCATTGAAGAACACAAAGAAAGACCATGGTGGAGGCCAAGGTGGGAACACATGAGGTTTTTGCTCTTAATATTTTTTATTTGACCACATTGTCGTTACATTGTTAGCTCTATGACTTTTGGTTTCTCTGTGGACTTAAATTTCTGGACGCAAGATGTTTTTCTTGGTGCTCATATTAACTTTGTCATAACTGAAGTCTTGGTGTTTTACAATGTCTCTTTTATGTATGTTTGACACCACTCAACTTTTGATTGGGCATGATGTTTTTTCTGCCAAATGTAATTTTAGATTCCTGTTGTGATATGTTCTTTTCTGGGTGGCATGGTCATTCTTTTCTGACCTGAAGTTGGTGTCAAAAGGAAGAACTAGGTCATTTCGTTGTAGTAACAAATTTCGAACGTTTCTTCATATTGTGGATTTTCCCTAATCTTGCCCTTGTGGAAGCTGCATATAATTTTTCCTCTATCGTCCATGGATCTGTTAATCTGTTTCTAGTTTTCTAACATTGATTTACGACATGTGGTGAGTGGGTCTGTCCTAATGAATTATTCTACGGACAATCATCGTACATAACTTGTTGATGTGCACATTGCAAGGAAACGGAAGTAGTTTCTTTGGGCAGATGCACAACAAAGCAATGCCACATAGCCGGAACTTCTAACTAATGCTTTGCCTTTCTCCTTGTCATTTTTTTGACATATTATATTTTGGATGCTTCTTACAGAATACAGTTGTCGTTTCAGATATGAACTATTCACCATTGGGACCAGAGATGCATAGCTTCTGCAGTTCTATCTGGCTAAGGCAGTTTGAAAGGAATCAACAGTCTATCGCCGAAGCGTTGTGCAACGGAAATAGTTCCGACTGCCTCATGTAGTTTGTTACACGAATTAACTCATTTTTTTGGCAAATGATGCCAGGTTGGTAGTTCTTATGGACACATGTGTGCATGGCGGTATCTATTTTAGATGCCTTCGTGTTCCCAGCTTTTTGGAGTCACCGGGACATGCCTTTTGTGTCAGGATTCGTACTTTATGATGGCACCTAAATTTCTTTAAATATGTTCCCTTCTATTTTTCTTTTCCTATTTACTGATTCATGAAATGATTCCCTGAGGTGGCCAAATATATTACTTATGTACAATGCATATATGTGCTTCAATTTTCACTATTAACAAATGTAGACATTGATGTTAATTGTACTAATTGGTCTTAATTTTTTTCATTTGTCGGAGCATATTTCTTGCCCGCTGGATCTTGCCCATTTAAGGAAGGCATGTCAAATTATTCTTAGACCTTGTATCTTTGTTAGGTGCTTTTGTATCGCTTATTTATTCCTACCAGAATGTAGCAACATATATGAGTAGATATATTTGTTTTCTTGCTTTTCCAAGAAGAACCGGCACAAGAAGCTGAGGTCGCTGCTTTGAATCTTAAATAATTGTTTCCTATTAGTACAATATTTTGATGCTCCATTGGTTGCAGAACTAAATTATGTATTAGTTTGCATCCATGCAGTAGGAGAAATATCTTGAAAGTAGTTCACATCCAGTTAACGTTGATGGCCAGAGATAGCGATCATGTCTAATGTGGGAAAGGTGATACATTCATTATTTTTTGTGAGACTCAATAATAGGAGGTGACTCCTTTTTCCACTTTATCTGTTGGAGATGGTGTCTGCGGATTTAGTGTTCAATGGAGCGGCTTGATGCTTTAGGATACGTCGTGCTTTACACCTGAAATAGGCTTCAATTAGTTTTACTGTAAAATATTGCATCACTTAGTATTTATGATGTACTACTTCAATCCATGCCACATTATTATTTCGAAATACGTAATCACAAACTTAAATATACTTGCTTTTCAGTTAATGTTGTTCCAAATTAGCTCTGGTTATTTGTTTTATTGATTCTAAGTTTGTCTTCTCATTCTTCTATAGGTAAAAGAAAACTTCCATATTGATGAGGATGATTCTTCATATGGAGTGTTATGGATCATGACAAATTGTAAGAGTGGGCCACAGTTTACA